TGGTATAGGCATATACTCCGCTCCATCCCACTAGCGCCAAAGTAATGTAAAAGACTGTCAATCGCCTTAATAGTTGGGCCGGTCCACTCGAGACCTTCAGTCCGCAGTATATCCCAGCCAGAACAAAACCTGCTCCCAGAATAGCGGGAAGCATAAAATAGAATGTGAAGCGCTGTCCGAATACGAACCAGATCGCCAGCGCAACCAGGCCCATTCTTGCCAGCAGCCCAATACCCAGGAAGAAGGTGGCTGTGCCACTGGTCCGGTCTTCCTCGGTTGTATCGCTGGGAGTACTATTCTGATGCTCCAAATAGAGCCCTCCTTGTCGCTGGGATCGTACTGCCGGTCACCGGCGCCACCTTTCTTTGGTAACCAAGTTAGCGAAAGCCCGGGTTATCTGGAAGGCGTCTTCCAAAGAAAGTCAGACCGTGGCAAAGGGTGTTGGCAGGCACGGTTACATTAGAGAGAATCAGGTAGACGGAACGTCTATGCCCAACCGCCGTACGTAACCGGGTTGATGAATCACTAACAGATTCCCGGTTTGCCCTTGGCCTTCCCCGGTTTTTGTCCAGGCCAACGAAGGAATTGACGGACGAAACAAAAACCCCACGTCGAAACGACATGGGGCACCCACGACTTACTGCCGGAAGCGGGACCTTGACGGCCCCGGAGAACCTAACGTCTAGCTAGTGTTCCTCGCAGAACGCCGTGATATAGGTAGACCCATGGCCCATGGCCCATGGCCCATGGCCATGGTGCTTAACCCACCATTGGCGCCTACGTCCGGAGTAGATGCCAACTACGCCGGCCGGGCAGCCCGTAGAATGTTATGTTCTGCGGGCTGTTGTCCTGCCCGCCAAAGGGATTGGCTACTTCAAGTACCTCGGCTGTCAATGGTCTGTGATCAGAGACTATGTGTGGGAGGGGAAACCAACCTCGACGGCGTAGAGGAAGAGGCGCACCAGGGTCTATTCCTGCGTGGGCGGGGAACCTGAGATTGGAGACGTCGTTAGCTGGACTCCATGGGTCTATCCCCGCCCTGGGCGTAGGAACCTTTATTCTTGCTCCTGTTTGCGCTTGGGGAAGTGAGGGGGTGGCTCTTCATCGGACCAGTGACTAAAGTTGGCCACTGTCATACCTCCCACCCGGCGAGTGCGCCAGACTGGATGCCGGCGCCGGCGTTCCGCTCTGGCTTGTCGTTCTTCTTCCGTCATAGGTGTCACCTCAAGATAATTTTGCTTTAGCGGGCGGCGTTGTGCCGATAGGGAAGGATCCGGGCATATCCTGCTGGGAAACGGTGCCTGCTAATGGAAAATGTGGCCTGCGCCCGCTGGAGTCGGGGAAAGCAGGAATTCTCCATCCACCATGGTGGTCTCGTTAAAGGTGACCTGCTCCATGTTGGCGCCCTCCAGGCACGCCCCCCACAGGTCCGCGCCAGTCAGATCGGCGCCCGCCAGGTTTGCCCCGGTGAAGTCTCCATTTCTCAGGTCTGCCCCTCGCAGGTCTGTCCCCCGCAAGTCCGCGCCGGCCAAGGGAGGCAGTTCTTCCTCTCCGGACAGGCTTGCCCACACCCCTCGGGGGGACGTTGGCCATTCCTCGGGCCCCAGGGGGTCCCAGCCGGCTCCCGCCCGCCGGAGCATCAGGATGACGTGGGCACGATTACCACCCATCTCCCTTGCCCAGGCGTCGGCGCCGTCCAGGAAGTTTCCCGAAGCGACTCCCAGGGCATGGGCCATTCGGGATCCGGCGCAACACCTGCCGTCCTCCTGCCATTGTCCCTGAGATTGGGTGATTCCCGGAGCGGTGACGGCCGGGTAAACCTTTCTAATAGCTGCTGGTACCGTTTCATGGCATAGCCTCCTGTGGATTGAAATTACGGTGCGGGGCCTCTGCTAATCCGAGGGATCTTTCGCTTCCTTCCGGCATATTCTGCAGCGAAGGTCGGCAATTCCCTGGTCCAGATCCTCGATGATTACCTGGATGGCTATTCCACAGACCTGGCACTCCCGGAGAGTCTTGGGCAGCATCCGCTCCCTGGTTACGTCGTTGCCGTGCTTGTCAATAATCCTGGAAAAGGGCATATCCCGAAAACGGTCATAGCGGGGATGGCTGTAGTCAGGCAGTTGTTCATTCATTCGAAAGGACCTCCTTGGTAGCATGATGAGGGGGGTGGCCGCAGGGGTACGTGCCTTACCTTATTGGCGGTACGTGACGTTGGCGGGGGGTGTAGCAGGTGTTCAGCAGATAGAGTATCATCTATATATATCAATGCTCTTATACATTACAGAGAATGATTCAGCCAGCCTTTTGCCCAGGGAATTGGGGGATGACAGCGTCATCCACCGGACCTTCCGGCGTTAGGTGGAACCTGATCTGCTGGAGGGTGCCTGGGCCGTGCCAATAGAAGAATGCCAGGAGCTGGACCGGGTGAACTGGGCATGGCAGTCAGCCGATTGCTCGATGGGAAAGGCGGGTTTTTGGGGGGCGCTATTGGACGCAACCTCACAAACCGGAGCAGGGCCGGCAGCAAGAAAAGCATCCTGGTCGACGGGGGTGGCGGGCCCCTGAGCGTGGTAGTGGCCGGAGCCAATGTCCACGATACGAAACTCCTCAGGTTGACGCTGGAGAGTATAGTGGTGCGTCGGCCGGAAAGCGCTCAAGACCTGTGCCTGGACCAGGGGTATGACAATCCCACCGGCCACGAAACCGCCGCCGACACCGGATACCAGTCCCATATCGGCCGTATTGGCGAAGAGAAATTGGACCAGTCGGGGAAAAACCCCATCCAGCCCGGCGGTGGGTGGTGGAACGCGCCTTGGGATGGCGGTCCAAGTGGCGGGCCATACTGGTGCGATAGGCCAAAAGGCCATCCAATTACCTTGGCCTGCTCCAACTGGCTTCTGCTCTTATCTGGTACCGCCGCCGTTGGAGCCTCGCTATTTTGACAATGTTACTTAGTGGTAGCTGGTGGGATCAAATGGCCGGTCATAAGTACAAGCCTGCCGTCAAACCGGTGTGTGAGGCCAAGGTTATCCACATCGACGGCTCCGTTTGCTTTTGGGTTTTCGTGGGTCAGTCTGAATCGGAACAGATCCCCACTTCAGAAGGAAACCCAAATGCATCCCCAAATGGGAAATCAGGGGAGCACCATTTCACTTTCCTGCTCCAGGCCTGTGATACCAACTTCTACGGACGATCCAAGTTGCGGCAAGGGATTCACGTGTCGAGACCACTGGGCCATCAGATCCCGGCGCTTTTCCAGGGCGTCGGTCTCAGATATGAAGCCTCCGTCCGGTCGCCAGCGACGTGAGACAGAGCCAGTTCCGCCAACTGCCGGTCGTGCCCTTCCTCAGCACAGAAATTGCGAAAAGATTGCCGGAACCCGTGGGGGACGCAGTTGACGCAGTTGTTTTTCAGGAGCGTTGAAAAGGTGGCGTCGGTAATGGCCTTGGCCCGTTTCGGGCTGGGGAACACCAGCCCGCTGCCGTCGGTCAGTTCCTGAGCCTCGAGGAGGATTCCAATGGTTTCAGCGGTGAGGGGCACCCGGTGTTCCCGCCCTGATTTCATCCGGTGGGCCGGAATGGTCCAGACCTTGTTTTCCAGGTCTATTTCGTCCCAGGCGGCCAGGCGGGCCTCTCCGGACCGGACGGCGGTATGCACCAGGAACTTGAAGCTCAGCTTGACCACCGGAGAGGCGGTTGACTCTTCAATCTGGGCCATGGCTTCCGGCACCTCATGGGGCGGCAAGGCCCGGTAATGCCGGGTTGCCGGCCGTAGATCCGTAACCGCTGGGTCCAGGAGCGGCTGATGCGGCCACTGGCGGTGGTCTTGACCAACAGGGACAGACCGTTACCACCCCGCCCGTCGCCGTAGCGAACCGGGGTTCTGACCCTGGCGACGAAAGTAGCGGATAATTTGGTGGGCCGCATGAGAACAGCCTCGAAATGGTTGCCACAATAGTTACCACTAATTAGCTGATTTCAGTTGATACTGAGTGAAGCGTTAAGAGGCTGAATCTCAACAGTATTATTTGTACAACATAAGCAAACCCAGCCTTAATTGATACTACGTGAGTCAGCTTGAAACAGTAAAATGGTTCCTGCCGAAGGCTCTAAATTCGGGCCTACAAACTTTGGTTTGTGCAGCCGGTTAACTTTAGCGCGGCGGGACTTCGGATTTTTCGACTTCGCTCAAAATGACAAACTGGCAGGCCGATCTGGCCTGCCAGTCCAACAATGCATCTTCTTGCACTGGGTCTAACTACCCGTCAGAATAGTCACCACCTCGGTGGCCAGCCCCTCGGCCCGCTTCCGCAACTGTTCGCGGTTCAGGTTCTCGATAGGGTGCTCGGTGAATATCGTGGGGTAGTCGGCGGCGCCCCACATCTTGGCCATGCCCTTGGCGGTGGGGATGAACCGGTCAGTGCAAATGGTAGCTGAAGGCAATCCCGCCTTTTCCACGTGAATCCCGTCGTGCACACTGCACGCGCTGCAGGACCCTCAATCACCAATGGCAATCACCACCGCGTCGCAGTCGGTAGCCAGCGCTGCAATGGCGGCCGGGTCGGCGGGTCGGGAGGCGCTGGGCTTTCGGTGCCACTTCACGTCGCTGATTTCGTAGCGGGTGCGCATTACCTCTGCCAGTTCTTCCAGCAGCACGTCGGCATTCCGCTTGCTGTCGTCAATGATTCCCAAGCGGGTACCGGCCAGGGTAGGCAACCGGGGCGCCCCGTCAAACGGTGGCGTTACCGGCTCGGTGGTGGGATTAACCAAGGTGTATTCGCTCATATTCCCTTCCCCCTTTTGATCTGGTTATCAGGGACTTTGCGGTTAGCTTACCACACAGGTGCGGACGCTGCTGAATCACTCAGAGCCGCTACTTTCTAACTTCCCGAGTTACCGCTGAGGAACCTACCTTGGGCCCCCAACTGGGTATCACCGAGGACATATTGCTTTCCTCGCCACCTGCAAATACCACCAGGATGTCCTCCGGCGCGGCGGTCAGAGGGACCATGCGCTCCGCATCCCCGGGTTCCACTTCTCCGGGGAAGACCTGTGCCCGCTTGAAATCGGCCACCGAGCGCCGATGTGGGCTTGGAGATATGCCTTGACGTCGGCCTTGCTCCAGTCCTTCCACAGGCCGCTGTTGCCAGCGATGGTGACTACCGTCTCCCCCTGCCGGATTCCCGCCGCCGGGTCGCCCACGGAGCCGGAAGTGGACAGCGAGGTGCCCAGCGAAGAAGCCACGTCGGCAATGGCGTACAAGATAGCTTCCGGCCGGCCCACCGAGCGCACTTGCCGCGGACCCTCGCAGGCAAACAGTGTTACCCCGCTCTGTTCCGGCGAGAAGCCTCGCTCCACGTGCAACGGCGTCCAGTGGGTCTCGGTTTCCGCCTCGGCAATGCAGTAGCTGAACTTGCCCGGGTGGCCGATTACGCTGCGGTCGTAGAGGCCGGGGATGGCGGCACAGGCGTTCATCAGGATGAGCCGAATGGCCCTACCAATGGTGGAATTGGCCCGGTTGCCAGGACCGAAAAGGTTGTTGCGGGAGTTGATGCCAAGCTCCTGAACGATGGGCCCGTTGACTATAACCAGCGTGGCCGCGCCGCCCATGCTCGAGGAAGGCCCCACCAGGTTGAACTCCGGAGCCAGCATGGCCTCGGCCGCTGCCAGCACCACCGGCATATACTCGGGCTTGCAGCCGGCCATCACCGCGTTGGCCGCGACCTTCTCCGCAGTAATCTGTCTGCGCCGTTCGGGCAACTCACCTACAATCTCCGAACCATCCCGGCCGGCGGAGCCTAGGAACTCGGCCACCTTTTCGGACGTGGGAGGGAGCACGGGCAGGCCGTCGGTCCAGCCCAGTTCGTAAAGGGCTTCAACAGCCTCGAAAACGTCGGTCCAGGCTGCGGTGGTTTCGTTGGTCAAATTGGTCTCCTTGTTTGGCACGTTAGACAAGACTAGGGCAGAATCCTCGCTTAGTGAAGGTCGAGAACATGGTCAGGTACATAGTGCCAGTAGACTTGACCTGTATCAACTTCTTCCTTTAGCTCGGGGCTAATTTGACAGCAAGCTATTACCGGAAAAGCATGTATGCCGGAATGTTCTTCAAGAATTCGAGCGTGACGAACGACTTTCCGGAAGTGTTTTTGCTCTCCCTTAAAGGCGATTTCCACTACCAGATACTTGGTTTCTCCGTTGTCTTTGACCACAATTATCAAGTCGGAGTATAGAAAACTCCTTAGCTAGTCAGTTAAGGGTCGGCCCTTTGTAGACTCTGATACAATTTTTACTAGGTCGCTACCGCTCATATTTCCGACGAATTCCATGCCCATGTCAAAAGGAATGAACAGGGATCTTTCGGCTATTCGACGTTGGGTATAGTCCTTCCACATAAAGGATGTTTCATCTACCGCCATAATGAAGAAGGTGCCTCTATCCGGTGAGTTGGTTCAACAAAGGTCCAAAGACCCGCCTAAACGCAAGCAGATTATTTACCATCCAATCCTGAACCTCGGCCAAGGTGTCGTCATCCTCGTCAATATTGCCCGCTCGAGTGAGGGCTATACGACTGGCCCTTCTGTTATCCAGTCGTTGCCAGTCTAATGTACCAAGCTGCGAGCGGATTTCCTCTTCATGCAGCTGCAAATCTTGCAACATCTTCAAATTGCTATCGGCCTCTGGAAAGTCGATATAGACTTCAATCCTTGCTTCTTTCTGACCCGTGAAATTCGCACCGAATGTGATGTGACTGTATCCAGTGGAAAAGCTATACCAATTCTGTGGCTGGCCCTTCCGAGCATTGGTAAATTTATGCTTCTCCCGCAATGTATCTATAAGAGCTTGGAAAAAGCTTCTATAACGTTCTGATCGTTCCGATACATCTGGGGTTTCACCATTGTTCGTCCGACGGACGGCTTCTTTACGCCAACCGTTAGGCGTTGCCACTACATTAAAGTGTGGGGCGGGTAATGAGTCACCAATTCGCCACAACTCCACGGTAACCCCGAAAAACTGTGTATCGTCTCCCGTGCGTTGATTCAGCCAATCCAGTGCCTGACGGTGTTCTTCCCGAAATTCTCTCGTCACCCATACCACAGCTTCTGCATCGAACCCTGCAGCGTAGGTCAGAAGTTGGCCTAAGTGACCGTGGTCGGTAGTTTCCAACTGATTCTCGATTATTACAGGACGGCGGCTACCCAAGTCGGCAGCCAAAATATCTAGATTGTAGCCACCTACGGGTGCTTCAATTTGTTGCAACTCCAGTTCCATGCTGAGGGCTTCACCCAATTCGGCTAGATTCTCGGCGAGCCAAGGCGTAAAGTGCTGTGCCTCATTTGGCCAAGTGGCTCGCAGGTCGGACATTCGCTCGATTTTCGCCAGATGGGGAGCAGTCATGAAGATTGCCTGAAGTGGGAAGGGGTTATTGCCCCTTCCCTTTACGCTTCGAAAAGAATTTACCTACCTAACCCGCGCGTACTTGGAGAAGCTGCGCAGTTCCCGGGGCGGGTCCATGTGGGAGCCGCGAATCGTGTAAGACACCTCGGAAACGTACACGGCGCCGGTGGAGTCCACGGCTATGCCGTGGGGGGCGATAAACTCGCCTGCGCCCTCGCCCTCATCCTTGGACCCGAACAGACCCACGCGGTTGCCTTCCAGGTCATAAATGGTTACGCGATGGCCCAGACCCGGGGCATCGTCCACGCCGCCCATGCCGTTCAGCTCGCCGATGTAGATGTTGTCTTCCCACAGCACCATGGCGTCGGGGCGGTGGATATTGCTCCACATTGTGATGAAACCGCCTTCCGGATCAAACACCTGCACCCGGTGTGCTTCCCGGTCCACCACCAGGATCCGGTCATCGCCATCAACTGCGATGTTGTGGGGGCGGATGAACTGGCCGGCGTCAATGCCCGGCTCGCCCCAGCTAAGCTTATACTCCCCGTCGCCGGTGTAAACGTGGATGCGGGAGTTGCCATAGCCGTCTGAGATGTAGATGTCGCCGTTGGCCGGCCGGATGGCCGCGGAAGTGGGACGGTTGAAGGGCTGCCCGCTCCAGCGCGGGGCGGGATGGTTGCGCTCACCAATCTCCATCACCTTTTCCCCGTCGGGAGTGAACTTCTGGATGGTATGGATGCCATCGTCGGCGGCCAGGATGGAATCGTCGTGGGCGACATAGAGGCCGTGGGTGCGGTTGCTGAACAGTCCCTGACCAAAGGACCGGAGGAAGTTGCCGTCCTTGTCAAAGACCATAATCGGGTCCTCGCCCCGGGTGAGAATGAACACACGGTCTTCCGAGTCGCAGACCACGCCGGGACATTCCAGCAGGCGCTTTCCCTCGGGCAGCTTTACCCAGTCTTCAACAAAGGTGTATTGAAAATCGCCAGATCCAAAAACTTCTGCCATAGTTTTTTCCTCCTAGTTGTTAGCACTGCGGAATTGTTGGTAATAGGTTGCCAAAAGGGGCAAAAACTGGCCTCCGCAGTTTGCCGTCATACTACCTTTATGCTGTGTCAACGTCAATTGGGGCTGTTCCGTCCCTGCGCCCTTGAGACGCAAGCCAGAAAAGGCAGGTACAGGTCGACGTTCAAAACGACGAGGATTCCTGGATTCCGGCCTTTGCCGGAAAGACGGTCGGGGTGAATTGCCTTCCAGCGCTTCGTTACTGCTGGGTTAAGCCGCCCCTTCATCACCCTGGAAAATACCGATGGGGTTCCCTTCGGTGTCAATGAAGTAGGCAGCGTAACCTACCCCCGGGATGGCAAACTTGGGCACGGTTTCGGTGCCACCCTTCTCAACAATTCTCGCTGCGTAGTCGTCAACGGAGTCCACTTGCATAACCAGGGTATTGACCGCTGACGGCTCCGGACGGACCAGCATACCCCCGTTGATGCCCGGCTCCGAGTCGTCGCCGGTATTGACCAGCCAGAACTCCGAATCCCCTTCCCAGCCATTGAATTGCCAGTCAAATACCTCGGAGTAGAACTGGTTGGCTCGTTCCGGATTGTCAACGTACATTTGGAAATGGACTACTCTGGGCATGGCGAGGGCTCCTAAGTCAGATTTTGATTATGCTGGCAACAGGGCATCTCAACGTGTTTACGGGAGTTTAGGCCGCAGTATAGTTGTCCTCGAATATCCCGAAAGGATTGCCCTCGGTGTCCCGGAAATAGGCGGCGTAGCCAACCCCTGGCACGGCAAATTTGGGCACTAAAAGCGTTCCCCCGCCGCCGGTTATCTTGTCAACATACTCGTCCACCGTTGGTACGTCCAACATTACTGTGGTCATTGTCTGTGGGTCGGGACGCTGCACCAATCCCCCGTTAATCCCTTGTGCCGGTTCTTCCCCGGTATTGATCAGCCAATAGGCGAAACCGCCCTCTCCCTCCCACTTATCAACGCTCCAGCCGAACACGTCGCCATAAAACTTGGCGGCTCGGTCAAGGTCATCAGCAAAAACCTCGAAATGTACTACCCTAGAAATCTGGCCGGAAACTGGCTTCAGCCGGGTGGTCAGCTATACTTGGGGCATCAAGAAATAGCGAGGAATGATAGTGCTGGGAGAGCGATCCCGATCAGAGGGGTCTCTGGGAAGCGGACCGGTTGTACCTGGACCACGTGGGGCGGGACACCTTCTACGGTCTGCTGGCCTCGCTGCGGGGCCGGTTGTTCCGAGACGCCGATTTCGCCGAGTTCTACTGCCCGGACAACGGCCGGGACAGCGTGCCGCCCAGCCTGCTGGCGACGGCGCTGCTGCTCCAGTCCCACGACAAGGTGAGCGACGCCGAGGCCAAGGCCAGAGCTGACTTTGACCTCCGGTGGAAAGTGGCCCTGGGGATTGAGGTGGAGGACCGGCCCTTTGCCAAGAGCACATTGCAGGTGTTCCGCGCCCAGCTGATCCTGCACGACAAGGTGCGGGAGGTGTTCGAGTCCAGCCTGCGGCTGGCCCGGGAGTCGGGCTATCTGAAAAAGCGGAGCATGCGGGTTGCGCTGGACACGACCAACATCCTGGGGTCGGGGCGCGGTGAAGGACACCTGCAACCTGTTGGCGGACGGGATCGTCAAGCTGCTGCGTGCGCTGGCAGCAGTGGAGAAGATCAGCGTCAAAGAATGGGCCAAGGCCCAGGGATACGGGCGGTACCTTGCCTCCAGCATCAAGGGAGAGGCCGCCATCGACTGGTCGGACCGTAAAGCGCGGCAGGCGCTGCTGGCCGGGATTGTGGCGGACGCGGACCGGCTGTTGGAGTTGTCGCGGCAGGCGCAGGGGGAGTTGACCCGAGGACGGTGAGGAGCGGCAGCACATCGTGACGGCGGCGGAGTTGCTGGGGCAGTTGCTGCTCCAGGACATTGAGCGCAAGAGCGGCGACGGCGATGACGGCGTGAGCCTCAAGGATGGAGTGAGCCGGGACCGGATGATGTCGGTGCATGATCCGGAGATGCGCCACGGCCACAAGAGCAGCAGCCGGCGCTTTGACGGGCACAAGGCGGCGATTGTGGTGGATACCGATTCCCAGCTGATCACCGCCGTGGCGGTACTGCCCGGCAACGCTCCGGACAACCTGGGGGCGCTGGAACTGGTGGAACAGAGCGAGGCCAACACCGGTGTACCGGTGCAGGAGGCCATGGGCGACGCCGCCTATGGGGACGGAGCTACCAGGCAGACCTTCGCCGATGTGGGCCGCAAGCTGGTAGCCCGGGTGCCAGGCCGGCCCGACCGGAAGCACTTTCCCAAGGATGACTTTGTCATCGACCTGGCCGCGGGCAGTTGCACCTGTCCGGCGGGACAGGTCACCCACACCATCGTGCCAGCGGGAAAGCGGACGGATGCCGCGGGGCGGGTATACCGCTTGCAGGCCTTCCAGTTCGACGGGGCCGAATGCCGGACATGTCCACTGCGGTCCCAGTGCATCGCAGCCAAGGGCAGGAAGGGACGGCGGGTGCTGATCCATCCCCAGGAAGGCCTCCTGCAGGAGGCACGGGCGTTGCAGCAGAGCGCCGCCTACGACGAATATCGAGCGCGACGCGTGGCGGTGGAACACCGGTTGGCCCGACTGGTCCAGTTGGGCATCCGCCAGTCCCGCTATTTCGGCAGGGTCAAGACGCGATTCCAACTGTACCTGGCGGCTACAGTGGCCAACCTGACCCTGGTGGCGGGCAAAAGCGGGCTGTCGGACAGTGTCGGCGGCGGAGCGGAAGCCCACCGCGCCGTCCTCAGTGCCGTCCCCAGTGATGTCCAGGCTGTTTCCCACGGTGTTGTCGCCAATGCTACGGCCATTTTCGGCGCGGTCCGGCTCGGAATACTGTGGACCGTGATTCTGCTCAAGCCGGCTTTACTGCCGAAATCCCTCTCCCCAACCAGGGCTTTTCGGCCCGGTTTCTAGGCATGATTCACCTTCCTTTTACGAATGAGAATGAAAGCCGGGGTAGGCTAACAGAGGTAGGGGAAGGGACGCAAGGCGCAATTGTCAGTGGGTGTCGCGGCGGGACAGGTGGTCTGGATCTTGCCTGGTCGAAGCAGCCCTTGTGGATGCCCTGCATTCATTCGAAAACCACCTAAACCCGAACGCCATTTTTAAAATGGGTGCTGCGACTGCAGTGGGTTCAATAGCGTTCAATGAATGTATACGGCTCATTCTGAGACTGTCGAAGGATGGCCTCTTGCCGCCGATGGTTCGACAAGCTCACCATGAGCGGGTAGTAACAGTTGCCTCTTCTCAATAGAAAGGGCCCTCTCCGATACGAAGAGGGCCCTTTCTATGTACTGTTGAACTGTCCCGTTTCCTACGCCAGCAGGCTGCTCCCCTCGCCCTTTACAAAGTCCGCCGTCCGCAGTGCCAGGGCTTGGATGGTGGTAGTGGGGTTGATGCAGGCGCCGGTGGTGAAGATGCTGCCGTCGACGATGAGCAGGTTGGGCACATCGTGGGCCCGGCCCCAGCGGTCCACCACCGAGTTGTTGGGGTCGTCGCCCATGCGCGCGGTGCCCAGCAGGTGCCAGCCAGCGTTGCGCCGGATGTGCGAGGTGTAGACCTCCTTGGCGCCGGCAGCCTCCAGCACCTCCTTGGCTCGCTCCACGCCATGGTCCAGTATCTTGTCGGTATTCTCGCTGACGGTGTACTGGATTCGGGGAGCGGGAATGCCGTGGGAGTCGGTCAACACCGGGTCCAGGGTTACCTGGTTGCTCTCCTCGGGCAGGTCTTCGGTCATCACGGTGATGCCGATGGTGTGGCCGTAACGTTCGCCGAATATACGGTGGTGGTCCTGTCCCCAGGGCACCGTTTCCTGCTGGATGCCGCCCAGGGCAGTGGGCAGGGGCGAACTGGTAACGCCGGTAATCTGCAGGTCATACCCGCGAACAAAGCCCCGGTTCAGGTCCGTCTCGTAGAACTCCTGGCCCAGCATGGAACTGCCCCGGGGACCGGCCTCGCCGCCCAGCCATTCTTCAAAGATGCCCATGGCGCCGCCGCAGGGGTGGTGCATCAGGTTTTTGCCCACCAGGCCGCTGCTGTTGGCCAGGCCTTCGGGGAACAGGGCAGACTTGGAGTTTAGCAGCAGGCGGGCGGTGCCCACGCCGTTGCCGGCCACCACCACGACCCGCGCCCGCTGTTCCTGCAGGTTGCCGTTGGCGTCATAGTAGAGGGCTCCGGTGGCCCGGCCCGACTGGTCTACCAGGATTTCCCGTACCCGGCAGAAGGTCTTGAGGCGGGCGCCCCGGCGGAGGGCCCGGGGCCAGTAAATAATGTCGGCGCTGGCCAGGGAGCGCAGCGTGCCGCCGGTATCGGGTTGGCGACCGTCGTACTCCACGGAGGCTATGGCGCTGTCCGAGGACCACCAGTGCCAGCCCAGCTTGTTGAAGGCGTCGGCCAGCAGTTCACCACCCCGCCCGATGGCCAGGGGAGGCGTGGGCCGTTCGGGCTTGGGCGGATAGGCCGGGTCGCCCCGCAGGCCCGAGACGCCGTTCATCCGGTCGTTCAGGTCGTAGTAGGGTTCAAGTTCCGCGTAGGTCATGGGCCAGTCGTCGGCCACGCCGTCCTGGGACTTGAGGACAAAGTCGGAGGGATGGAAGCGGGGAAAGTGGGAACCCCAGTGGATGGTGCTGCCGCCCACGGCGTTGTACATCAGGGGCGAAATGGGCGTCTCCGCCTCGTTGACCGGATAGTCCTCGGGCAAGCCGCGGACGTTGGGGTTGGAGTGGAAGTCGGTCTGCCAACGGATTTGCGCGTCAGGCTCGCTGGTGGGAAAGGCGTCCAACGGCACCCAGCCGCCCTGCTCCAGGCAGACAACCTTGATGCCGGCCAGGGTGAGGCTCCAGGTGAAAGCGGCGCCGGAAGCGCCCGCCCCGATTACCAGCACATCAGTTTCATCGTGTCGGTTGACCATACTTCTCTCCCTTTTTCGTTTTCATCAACGAAGGGTCATGAAGAACGTTTAAGGTATGTTTATCCACGAACAGGCACTAATCTTCACTAACGGCTTACTTGGCCTGACTATTCATTCGTGAACCTTCTTGGCCATTCGTGGATAAAGTCTTACCGCCGCTCAAACACCGCGGCCACGCCCTGGCCGCCGCCTACACACATGGTCTCCAGTCCGAACTGGGCGTCGCGACGCTCCATTTCGTGCAGCAGGGTGGTCAGGATGCGCGCGCCGGTGGCGGCGATGGGGTGGCCCAGGGAAATGCCCGACCCGTTGACGTTCAGCTTGTCCTCGTTGGGCAGCTTCCACTCCCGCAGCACCGACAGCACCTGGGCGGCGAAGGCCTCGTTCAGCTCGATCAGGTCCATGTCCTCCAGGGACATCCCGATCTTGGGCATCAGCTTGTTGACCGACGGTACCGGCCCGATACCCATGTAGGCGGGGTGGCAGCCGGTTACGGCCCAGCCCCGCAGGTAGGCCATGGGGGTCACGCCCAGCTCTTCCACCTTGTCCTCGGCCACCACCAGGCACACCGAGGCGGCGTCGTTCTGGCTGCTGGCGTTTCCGGCGGTCACGGTGCCGTCGGGCGTCACCGGCCGCAGACGTCCCAGGGCCTCCATTGAGGTGTCAGCCCGTGGATTTTCGTCCCTTACAAAGTCCACCGGATCGCCCCGGCGCTGGGGGATGGGCACTCCTATGATTTCCTGGTCAAACTTGCCCGCTTCCACGGCGGCCACGGCCCGCTGGTGGCTGCGCAGAGCGTACTCGTCCTGCTCCTGGCGGGTTATCTCGTACTGCTTGGCCAGATTCTCGGCCGTTTCCACCATGCCGGAGATGTAGCCGAACCGCTCCTCCGGCGAGATGGTCTCCCGCGCCCGCACCAGCCGGTCGTGGAAGGTCTGGGAGCCGAAGCGGCCGCCCCAGCGGGCCTCGTTGACGTAGTACTCGGCGTTGCTCATGCTCTCGACGCCACCGGCAACCACCGCGTCGGCGTTTTCGGTCTGCACCAGCATGGCGGCGTTGAGGATCGCCTGCAAGCCCGAGGAACAGCGGCGGTCAAGCTGGTAGCCGGGCACCTCGATGGGCAGGTCGGCCTTGAGTGCGGCCAGACGTCCAATGGCGGGATTCTCGCCGCTGGGATAGCCGCAGCCCAGGATGACGTCGTCCAGCCTGGCGGGGTCGATGCCGCTGCGCTCGACGGCTTCCTTGATAACCAGGGATGCCAGGTCGGCGGCGGAAACATCGCGCAGGCCTCCGCCAAAAGTGGCCACGGCAGTCCGCACCGGCGCTACTATAGCGACTCCTCGCATGTGAATCTCCTTGTTTGAAAACGTAAAAGTAGGGGGAATTGCCCGCTTTTCAATGGGCAATATAATACCCGCTCACGCTGTTGATGTCGAATAAGGGAGCGGGTAGAAAAGCAAACGATTTTCTTTCTGAATGGTTACCCTACAGTCATTCTCAGCTGAGCCCCTCTGTCATTCCGAGCGATTACCTTACTGTAATTCTGAGCGGAGCCGAAGAATCCAAAATCCTGCCCTGCAAACCAACTGCCCGACTCCATACCATCGTCCATCGACAGCCGACCGCGCCCAACAATGTCTCTCGGGACCGTGCCCGAGAAGAAAATGTAATCACCCCGGTCGAACAAAGCCGACGGCCCGTGCTAAAATAGAAGTCCACAAATGGGGGTGTAGCTCAGTCGGGAGAGCACCTGCTTTGCAAGCAGGGGGTCAGGGGTTCGAATCCCCTCACCTCCCACCATATCACTCCAACAACATCAGTCAAGTCGATATCTCCATTAGTCATATCTATCCTTCGTCCAGATTGTCTTGATTTTGCCCGTGGCGCGCTAACATCGGGCATTGGTTGTGGGAATATATGTGGTAGGAGGGTGGCGTGATGGCTAAGCTGAACGCCATTAAGGTGAAAACGATAACCCGGCCGGGCCGGCACGGGGTTGGCGACGGCTTTACCTTGGTTTTAAACCAACAGGTGCAAGAGTTGGGTGGGGATAGTCGTTGATGGTAGGGCGCCGCGATATCGGTTTAGGGTATATCCCATCGTATCTCTGTGCCAAAGCAAGAGAGGTTGGCTGCGGCAACAGGGTGACCGTTGCCAGAGGGAAAAGACCCACTGTTGCAAAGGACGTAAGAAATCAATACCAACCTTCCGGGAAGCCGCTATAAAGGTTCATGCGGCAATCTTCTCGGTGGAGAGGAAACGGGAAACACACGGCATCCTGCTTGCAAAACCCTGGAGAAACATGCATTTCCCATTCTGGGCGATATGCCAGTGGACCGGATTGAATCCAGCCACGTCCTGAACGTCCTCGAGCCAATCTGGGGAATACGCCAGGAGACTGCACGGAGGGTGCGCAGCGGACAGCGCGCGAAGTCGTACCGTCTGATAATATGGTGCATGCCTCAGGCGTTGTAGAAGCGAATGCTGCAGGTGAGTGATCGGACGCGCCTGCCGCCATGCCAAGCTGAGAACCACTTCGTGCCTTGCACTATCGAGAAGTTGCAGATGCCATAGCCACCATAGAAGAATCCCGGGCATCTATCGCAGCCAAACTTTGTCTACGGTTCCTCATTATACGCCGACTCGAAGCGGTGAAGCCAGCGCAACTTGGGATGAGATCGACACCAACGAGAAGCTTTGGACGGTACCCGCAGCGCGAATGAAAGGATATACAGACCACCGAGTTCCGCTTTCTGAGGCCGCCCTGCAAGTCTTGGAAAAAGCTATGGAAATCCGGGATCAATCAATCTTGTTTTCCTTCTCCCTACCAAGAGAGGCAGGCAAGCTGTCTGACATGCACCCCTACCAAGTTCTTCAGGTCCACCGTATTGAGGCGCGAACGGCAACAGTCAAGCGTTTCGATGTCCGTTCGGACGTGGGCGCAAGAGAACGCTCCAAGGCGCACCGCGCACCAGAATTAGCATTGGCCCACAGAATTGGCTGATGACGTCGAGGAGTCGTCTATTCACACTGACATGTGGGACGAGCGGATGACGTGATGGATGAATGGGTCTGAATTTTGGGTCTGAGCATTCAGTAGATTCTTTGAGCTATTCCAGAACTGTGCAACCTGTGTTCAGCCTTTTCACGTGTGTCTCTTCGAATTTGCACTAATGGTTTCCACGCCCTTGAATGATCGGTGTTGATCCCGTTTGCCCGGAGCAGCAAACTTCCACCGTCTGATGCTTCGACAGCTCACACGACGGAGTCGTTTAACCATTAAGATCACATTGCGGTCTGCTTGTGAATTCATGTTCGATGATTCAGCAAGAAGGCTAGTAGTAGTACTACAGTTGCACTACTGACATCAGTAGTGAAAGCCGTCGTTGGTAGTGACATCGCCGGGCTTGGGCCTGATGGTATCGTCTCCACAGAGACCAGGACAATATAAAGTCAGCTGGCTGGTCTGCCCTCCATACAAGGCGGGTGAGCAGCCGGCGCACTTCGGGCACCGTCAGCGGTATCAACCTTTCAGCCAAGCCGGGACAGCCCCCTTTTCCCTGGAGCATCCTTGCGCCGACGCCTGATGTCTGATTACCGCCAGGTAGGCGTGGGCCAGCATCGCCAGGGTGATGTGCCGGTACCAGCCCTCCCATTTGCGCACTTCATACTGGTCCAGCCCAACTTGCCCCTGGGCCTCCTCAAAGCACTCCTCGATGGCCCAACGAATACCCGCCACCCGCACCAGTTCCGCCAGGGTTGTTCCTGCTGGACCGTAGCACACGTAGTAGGCCAACTCTTCAGGCTTGGCTACGCTGCGCCGGGCCAGAAGCCAGTACCCCTTGCCAGGCTCCCTTATGGGCCGGACCTGTGCCAAGGCCCAGTCGTAGACCCGAGGTCCCTTGGCCCCATCACCGGCGCTCAGCCGGACCCAGCCCGACTCTTCAACCCCAGACGCCAGCCGGTCGGCCCGCACCTGTCTCGGCCCCCTGTCGGTCAAAGCCCACAGCTTCTCATTGCTCTTGATAGCCAGCACGTGAGGAACGTCTCGTCGCTCCAGCCACAGCCGCAGGTTGCGGTCATTGCCATAAACCGTGTCTCCAGCAACCCAGCCGAAGGGAACTCCTGACTCCACCGCCCGTTCCAGCATCCGCCGGGCCAGTTGCGGCTTGGTACGGAACGCCACTTTCTCCGGCACCCCAGCCTCCTCCCTGCGTTCCTGGTCGTCGGCCCACACCCGAGGCAGGTACAGCTCCCGGTCCAGCAGCGTCCTCCCCTGGGCAGTGGCATACGTGAGAAATACTCCTATCTGGCAGTTCTCGACCCGTCCCGCCGTGCCGCTGTACTGCCGCTGCACCCCCACCGACTTGCTCCCCTTCTTCAGAAACCCAGTCTCGTCCACCACCAACACCCCGTCAGCGTCGCCCAGATGCTCCACCACGTAGTCCCGGAGATCATCCCGCACCAGATCCGCGTCCCACACGTAGGTGGACAGCAGATGCTGTACCCCATAGGGGGTGGCGTCCCCGGCCTGCTCCGCCAGTTGCCACCCGTTCTTGCGCTCCACCGAACTGAGCAGCCCTTTCAGATATTCCAGCGATCGCCGACGCGGTTCGGGACGCCGGAACCGCCCCGCTATGCACTCGTGTACCCGTTCGATACCCTCAGCCCACCGGACGACCTCCCCCACCTCTTCTCTCCCAACAATAACCACCACCTCACCTCTCCACCGCCGAAGTGCCTCAATTCTACCCCTTTATTGTTCTGCAACTGTAGTACTAGACGAAGACGGCAACGGAATCGGGTCCGTTCGGGGCCTCTCCGAGATACACGTTGCGTTCGATATGGCCGGTGATCTTATAGAGGGTGACAAGCTGACGGTTGTTTCGGTTCCGTTTGCTTGTAGGGTATGATGATCAACGTTAATATGAAATCCTGAAGCTGAAATGATGGTTTTGGCACAGCCATACCCTAATAGCAAACGGTACCGTCCGGAATGCGGGTGAAGCTTCACCTTCCGACGTATTTTCAGGGTGGTTGCTCGGCAAATCTGCTACATCCCAGGAACGGCCTGCCGTCTCACGCCCTCGTGGTCGGTGGGGTCGGCGTGGCCATTGGCCGGTGCATGGCGGCGAGGGCCGCCTTGTGCAGCCGGCTGGTGACCACCGACCCTTCTCTTTTCTTGGCGAGTTCAAGCAGGTAAGCGGCCACTAACTCTGGTGGTTCCGGCGGGCCGGGACGCCGCAGGCCTGCGTCCATTTCTCGAAGGAGCGCCAGGCCGAAGGGTACATGGCCCGGGTGTTTTCGGAGACGCTTTGGTCCAGGGACCGGCCGACGCGCTGGACGTCGGTGCTGGTCAGGCCGGCGGCCGAGGCCGTTGGCAGAGTTTCGTTGAAGTCCTGGGCAACTGGCAGGAGGGGGGTTCTGCAGGGCCATTCTGGGACTCCCTAACATGTCCTCTGACGGTGCAGGATTCACCGAAGGGGAGCCGCGTATATCTGACCGCCTTTTGGACAGTCCTCGCAGGGAGCGTCGGCCCACAGGGCATTTCGGCTTCCCTCTCTGGGGATGTGGATGCCTCCGGCATCGAGGTTCCGGCTGTAGATCTGACCGTAGTTTCCCATGTCTCTCAGCACATCCTGGGCCACAGTCAGGCTCAGCCCCAGGCTGTCCTGGCCAAAGGAGCCGTGGTAACCCAGGAACCTGTCCACTGCGAGAACCCCCGTTGGCCTGGCGGGAACTGAATCGGAGGTTATTCCGTAGGCCTCGCCGTAGATGAGGATGGACATCACCGTCTTTACAATGTCGAACCACTGGTCATCACCGTGGGGGACCACGGGTCCCATCGGCTCCTCCGAGATGGTCTCAGGCAGCACGGTATGGGCAGTGGGGTCCTGGAGCAGTGAAGCTAAGATAACAAGTTGGGAGTGGTCATTGGTCAGGGCCTGGCAGTGTCCCTCCTGATAGGAGAGCAGCGCCTCCTCAGTACTCTCGAAGGCCGCCACTTCTATTTCCAGCTGGTGTTCCCTGGAAAAGTCCAGGAGGTTCAGTTCAGTGGTGGTCTCTGCCGCCACACAGACCCTGGCCCCGGTGAGCTCCAGCGCGCTTTTGAGGCCCAGGCTCCGCCTGGTCAGGAATCCCTGGCCGTCATAGAACATGGTGTGGGGATAGTTGCCCCATCTGGCATCACGGGAGACAGTCCAGGTGATGTTGCGTACCATCAGGTCGACTTCGCCGGCTTGGATGGTAGGCCCACGCTCCGCGGGTGTTATCGGCCGGACCTCGACGGCGTGGGGATCGCCAAGGACGGCGGCGGCCACGGCGCGACACAAGTCTATGTCGAATC